AGATCATGTACTAAAAAAAGGAGTACAATAGATTAGTAATTAGTTTTTGTAATAATTAAAATAAAAATTAATTATTCAACACATAATTTGTTATTCAATTAAATTACAAATATAATTTAACTTTTTATAAAAAAAATTATTATTTAAATTTTCATATGCAATACAAGTCGTGCATTGCTAGTATTGATAAATACACAATTATTTGTGCATTATGCCTGGTCAAATACAATTTATAGGTAAATATTTAAGTTTCGTAGGGACAAATTAGTAAAATAGTCACTTCTGTTACTTTTGTTTGAAGACAAACTCCGACAATGGGTGTCAATGAAATTTCAGATAATACATGAGATGTCAGTAAAGATATGATATTTTAAAAAGAGTGTAGTTAAAAAAAAAAAAGATTGTATTATACTTTTTTTCTTCATATAAATGATGATTTTTGAACCCTTTAACATATCCCACCCTAGGCCCTACAAATAGCACACCAATTTAGAATGATTTTGGCAAGTTGGTACTACACTTTTGAATTCCATGTTTTACGAAAATTACCATTTGAATTCTTTCACCCATTTGTTCATCTACCCATCAATGTCAACTTCAGCAAATTTTGCATTTTTGGCTTCTTTAGTTTGGACCTATAATCTTTATAAATTGCCATTATCGGATTAATTAAAACATTTTTTTTGCAAATATGAACTTGAACATTCGAATGATTAAGCAATATAATTTTATCATAGCATTACCTTAAATTGTTTAGCTAATAACATTTTCAAAAAATAATTGTGATTGAAAATTAAAGGGGAAATGCCACCCCCATGAGAATGATTTAGTCACCAAAAATAGGGTGCTTGGGTGTTGCTAAAGAACTAAATGTCCTGCATGCACTATTATCCACGTGAAAAGAGAAATAGATAGTTGAATAGAGTTAAAAAAAAAATGAATTTTAATGACTATTTGAAAAGAAATAAAAGGTAATGTTGACATTTCACGGGTAAAGACGATGAAGTAGAGTTAAAGAGGGAGTTATAAACAGTTATGTAAAAAGAAATCTATACTATATATTTGGAAAGAAGACTTGAAGAGTCTTCACTCTTCAAATGGTAAATTATAATAATTTTAAGTTAATTAATTAAAAAATTTATTTGATCTAATCAATTGATCAAACTTGGACTTTAATAACTAGCTTGGACTTTTCCTATCCCACTCTACTGAATTTTTGGACAACAATTAACAAATAATTTTTATTTCATTTTGGACTCTTAATACCCATATCTCTATGTTGCCCAATGCTATCAAACTCTCCCAAGATTGTGAGACTACAGATATGACAGACAGACACACACACACACACATATACATCTAATAAAATACCTAGCAACTTATTTTTTTATCCTATATATATATTTAAAATATCACATCACTCATTTCTATCGCATGTTGAATATTTGATTAATTTATAATTTAACATAATTTTTATCTTAGACATTTCCATAAACGACAGTGTACACATGTTGAAAAAAATTTGTCAGATTACGTATTTTAAGAAAATTTTATCGATATTTTTCAAAAAATAATGGGCAAATATTAATTTTAAATTATGTAATCCAAGAAAGAAAATAAAAAAAAATGTTATTTAATATAATGGAATTAATTTTTTGCGCATTCAAATTTTACGTTTTATCATATTTTCAGGCATGAATTATGATTTATATATATTATTCCATAGTCATTCATAACTTTTTATTTTTATTATTCTTTTAGCATTTTTGTAACCATTTATCTTCCTCTATATCTCACTCTTTTATAATTACCCAAACATATATCTAACAAATGTATTTCTTAATTATAGCAAAATCACTTATTAAAATTTTTTATTTCTATCACCAATTTAGAATAAAACAGTAACAATTAAGAATGAAATAGTAACACATATAAAGCAATCAATAGAATTGGTACGTTTTGTAGAACATGAATTGTGATTGAACTTTAGATAGATCAATGATAGTATTTGACAATATGTCCATAAGACAAATTTCGCCTCCACACTTAATGCTTGTGAAAATCTAAGCGTCTATCACTTAAGATAAAATAATCTTCACTCACTTAGAAGTAACATTGCAATCTAAATGTCCAACGAACTAAAATTGTGTGTTATACTCTAAAAAAAAAATATAGGTTGCTAATGCTAAAAATATGGATGTAATGAATCTAAATTATTTATAGATAAAATAGTGACTAATTCGAATGTCCACCGTGTGAATAGATTAAACCCAAAATATAAAATGCAGTCAAAAGTCACCATTGATGTCTGCTCGACGATGAATAGATACAAATTCAAATTTTGGAATTTGAGAAAAATTAAATTTGAACCAGAGCAAATTTGAAATCCTATAAGCAGAAATAAAATATTGGTTAAGAATTTTCTTCAAAAAAATAAGGTTGGGTTTAAATCACACGCACACAAGCCCAGTAGGATTATAGTGTGGCGGGTGGCACGTGTAGTCAATCTAAAGCTCATAGGTGTTTGCTCCGCCCACAAAAGTCTAGTGCCCCTTGGGGCCCAACTCATATTGTAAACTTGGGATATATATGCATGTAAAATTTTTTACTCGACCAATGTGAGATTAATATTAAATCTTACATTACCCAATTTCTATTTTCACATTTAAGAGGGTCAATTTAAAATCTATTTTCTCATTCATTTCTTACTCGATTTGAGCAAGTGAATATGTAACGTTATTCTCCTCACGGAGTAGAACAAGAATCCAAGAAAATTTACTCTAAACAACGAGCGAATTTCATTTTAATTTAAACTCAAAGTCGACCAAAATTTCAATTTTTACAGCTAAAAATCTATTTTGATCCAACAATATCTCGTGCAAATGACATCAATATTAGGATTAATTATTTTTTACCTACATGTGGTTTCTGTTATGAACACTTTACCTACTTGACGTTTAAAATTATGAATATTACCTCCTCATAGTTATATATTAAAATGAAATGATTACTTTTGTCATCCAAGTTAACGAAGAGTGTACTTCATATATACAAAATATGTTGTGGGCTTTGTTTCCATTGTTTTACTCCAAAAAAATATTATCAAAGTGTCTAAAATACCCTTAATAGTATATGACATAATACCTAAATAGGTACGTATCAGTACCAGATCAAAAAACTTGTAAAAAAAGCATAAGTGATTTTTTGCCCCAAAACAAAACCTCACTTGAGGGGAAAAAAAAATTCGATATGTTTGATTGAAAGGTGTTGGTTTGTTGTCATGTTTCATTAGTTTTATGATCAAAAATAAATCAAACGAAAAGTCTAAGTTTAAAATGTGGGTATTATAGTAATTGTTTAAATTTGTTAACGACATCAATTACTTATTTTTTTGTACATAACTATAAAAAAATATAATGTGCATAATTTTAAACGCCAAGTAAATAATATAATTAATATTACATAATCATTTTAAGAGTTAATACTAAATTCTTTTTNCAAGTAAAACACATCATTGTTAGAGTGAGATTCTCTTTAATATATATTTTTTTATTTATTTTTTTATAGATCATGTATTATACATTTAAGTAGGCATAATGTATATAAGAGAATCACTCAGTCATTAATAATAAATGATCTATTAATAAAAAAATTTTAAAAAAATGTATACAATAAGATTTAACTACGTCAATAAAATAAATATTAGGTGTAACGATAACGCCAGGACACCAAGCGTTAGTCGTGTGTGTTGCCTAATTATTTCCTAATTATTCTTCCCGCATGTCGCNATTAGGTGTAACGATAACGCCAGGACACCAAGCGTTAGTCGTGTGTGTTGCCTAATTATTTCCTAATTATTCTTCCCGCATGTCGCTCCATCATTCATTCCCCCTTGGCACCATTTTTCTCACTTCACCAAAAAAAAAAAACACAGCCAAATGTATATATGAAATCGGACGGCAATGAACGAAGTCTCTCAAATCAACTTACATCGTTTTATTGGCTGAAGAAAAGAGAGAAGAAACACGTCTTACTCAAAAATCCTCCGATCAGACCTAAACGTTCTTTTCACATCAGTTTCATTGCACATACTTTTATATACTCTCTCTCTCTCTCTCTCTCTCTCTCTCTCTCTCTCTCTCACACACACACACACACACACACACACACTCTCAAGAAAATCGCTTGTGAGTGTTTGGAAGAGTGTTTCAGATCAGTTTCATTATCATCCTCGTTGTTACCTCCCTACGGTACGTCTCTCAATCGTCCAATTATTGTTAAATAGTGAGTGTATGTATGTGCGAACATATATACGTGTGTGTGTGTGTGTGTGTGAGTGAGTTATGCCGAAGGTTAAGTGATGATGGATCTAGTGAGAAAATATTCTGCGATTTTGTTCGAATTTGGATATTTATAGCTATCTGATGGTGATGCGGTGTTGAATTAAAGATCTGGTTTTATATGTAGTATAATTGTGCGTATTTGGGAATTGGATGCGTGGTTTCTGTTTTTCGATCTGTAAAATCGGGGATCTATTTTGTGATGGATGTTAACAATTTTGTTGAGTTAATGCGAATGGAATTTTGTGGTTTTAATGTAGGATCTATGAATTAACCCCATTGATTTCATGTAATTCAATGTGATTGTTCGAGAGCAGTATACAAGTAGCTGTTACGATTTACTAATAGGTAATTGTTTTACTTCTATATACACAAACACGTTGTTGCTGGAAGATGATTACTTCCATCGTTGCCAGGTTTGTTATACGTTAGTCTTAGTGTTAACTTCTAACTTGAAATTTCTATGATTAATATGACGAATATGAATTTGCTTGAATGAGACTTTTAACTTGATATAAATTTTTTATGGTTTTTGACAGAAATTTTTGTGAGAGAAAGCAAGCAGAAAGTCTTGGATTTGATGAGGGAGTGCAGAGATTTTTCGTATGGTTCCTGAGTGCTGAAAATTCTTCTGTTTCGGATTTTAGAAAATAAAGGAAAATGGCTCCGGCTAGCCAGGCTGATAAGAAGGCTGCACTTGATGCAGCTGCATGGATGTTCAATGTTGTCACTTCTGTCGGGATAATTATTGTCAATAAAGCCTTAATGGCTACATATGGCTTCAGTTTTGGTAATTTGCTGATCTTTAATTTTCTTTTTTCATTGGTTTAACCTAGTGTTATTCTTACAAAAAATATCTTAAAATTTCAAGTAAGTTGATTGTGTGATGCGCCAAAAATTGCAACAGCAAAGTGAAATTTGATTGGATTGATTAAATTCTACTGGAAGTGCCACTTGCAAAAATCAGAGAACGTAAGACAAACCTTTAAAGTGAGTGGCATTATCTATGTTCAATTGGGATAGGGCATCTATGCTGTCTATTGTCTATTGTGGTCAAGGTTATTAATATCTACGATACGTTTTTGTGCTGTACCGTTTGATACAGGGTGCGATGCATTCAATACAGTATGTATCATTGATACAAATGATACGTGAAGCTGCTGTTTGTATTTTTTTTTTTTTTGGATTTTCGTTGTTGAAACGACTTCGTATTGACTTGGACTTTTATTTTTTAAGCCCTAGTCAATGAAATGACGTTGTTTTATTGAGTAGGGCATGAAAAAAAAAACTGATCAAATTTGAGAAACCCTTGATTGTCCTCTCCTCTCTCTATTGCGCAAAAAGACGTCGAACCAGAAAGCCCTTTGGCTTTCTTCTCTGCTCTCCTCTCTGTGTTGAGTCTTCATCAGCTGCAAGAGTCTTCGAAAATCATCAGCAGTTGCAAGTGTCTTCATCATTGCATCCACTGGTTAAGCAATTTCAGCCACCTCTTGTTCTTCTCTCACTTCTCTAGCTTCTCTACCTGCAACACAGATTCATGAATCCAAATGTAAATTCTACTTTAGCAAATTGATGATATTAATGAAGTATGTTGAAAACTTTAATAGTTGATTGAATATGAATGAAAATATGTAATGATATGGTATTATCCTTTTTCTTCAAGGGTATATATATTTTATTAGTAAATTATTAAAAATTGCACTTATCTTATGACACACATTAAATTATTTTTAGCCAACGATATGTCTTCTGATACACGTTGTGACAACCATGATTGTGGTTATAAGGAAAAAAAACTGATGAGGAAAACAGATCAGTTATGTGCTGGAGTCTGAATATTTTATATTAGTCACAATGGAACAAGTGGCTTGGATATTTTAGTAGTCTCTTTCAATTCAGTTTGGGAACTTTGTTTCCCTGATTTTCATTGTTGAGCCAACTCCATTTTGCCTTACTCCTCTCTTGTGTGGTTAACGACCCTCACCCCGGATGGTTACCATCATCTTCTTTTGCTTTGTTTCATCTATTGGTCTTCTCTCCTTTCCATTTTCTTTGATTTTCCTTGATTTTGTCTTTTTAAATTCCACCTCTTTTATCTTATGATGGTCATAGTTTTTAAGGTTGAATTCTCTACTTGTTTACTACTTTTTTTCCCCCTAGACTGGTCTACTCCAGCTTAATAGTTTCTTTATATGTTTTAGAAAAGGAGGCCTATTACTTGTCTCCCTCCCTCAGTGGTGTGTGATTTGTAAAAGTGGTCACAAAAGCATTGATCATTTATTTTTACATTGTCCTATTGCGTTGTCTTTGTGGCTTAAGTTGTTTAACTTGATGGGCTTAAGTTGGATGTTTCTTAAATCATCCATATCTTCATTTGTTGAAGATTTGAAAGGCTCAGGGTCTTTTGAAAAGGGTTTCACCCTATGGAGTTGTGCTATATTTGCAACTTTGTGGGTTGTATGGAAGGAGAAAAACACACAAATTTTTTAACACAGGTGTGAATGTTTGGATGGTTTATGGGATCTGATTCATTTCTTAGCGTTTTTTTTGGGCCTCGATTTGAAAGGAGTTTAGCGGGATTCCACTATTTGCTATAGTATCAGGGTGGAAAGCTTCATGTGATTTATAGATGTTTTATGTATTTTCTTTGTTTTACATTTTCTCTTTTTTAACTGTTTTTGTTGTTGGATTCCTTATCCAACATTCTTGATTATATCTTTGATTTTTAATACAAGATGTTATGTTTCCTATAAAATAAAAAAATAATGGGTCCTGATCTTTACACCTATTGTGAATTGAAAATAATCACTTAACTGTGCTAATGCAAGCTTAACTACAAATGAGGAAAGAGGGTTAGTGTGAGCAGAATATGTGCAAATTGAATTAGATCTTTTGTCCAAGTTGTGGATATGTAGCTTTGGAATGCTTTGTAATCAACACATGATTTTACATTTAAGAGATAATAGAATGGATTTTGAAGGATAATTCGTTTTCACTAAAACGAATAAGGACAAATTGCAAAGGATTAAGTTTGTTGGAGTACTGGAGTTATGATGATAAGTGGTAATAGAAAGACATGTAGTAATCACAGCACTTGGTGAGAATATCTCCAGTAGACTCTCTTTTTATTTTAGAGAGTCCAATAGACTCTCTGTTTAGACTATAGCTAAAATAGAGTCTAATTTGGCTCTCTATATTTGTAGAGTCAAACTCACTCTCGACTCTATCTTTAATGAATGAAAAAATAACACATATATCTTTTCATTAAATGCTTTGACTATTGAGGCTATTTTTCTATTAGAATAGAGAGCCCTATTGGAGTTTTTAAATTTTTTTTACTCTATGTTAACTTTTCATTAAAGATGCTCTCTTTTTTAAAATGGATGCGCTCTATTTTAGAGAGCATTTTTGGAGATGGGATGCCATGTAGATATATAGCAATACCACTGGTGACAACGTTAGGTAAACGAGAAGAGGTCCCAGGGGCCTAGACAGCGAAAATAGAAAACATAGATTGAAGTGCTGAAAACCAAAAAAAAAGTGGTACACCTCGTGCGTGTGAACTCTGTAGACCTAGTTAGCTAATGTTAATGCAGAACAGGTGGGCTACAGCTTTGAACTCAGCAGACCTCGTTAGAACTATTAATGCAGAATGGTTGGGTCACAGCTTTGATTTTGGCATAACAAAGATAATAATAGTGATGATTATGCTGGTGGCGGCGATAGTGACGAGAACGACAATAATAATAGTGATGAATTTTTTTCCTTGAAGAGATACTCTGGGCGTGTTTGTTCATTATACTTTCTTCCTTGTCTGATCATATTAATTTTTTTGCTTTTGATTACTGCCATCCTTGCAGCTACAACGTTAACTGGTCTGCATTTTGCTACAACCACCTTGATGACGGCTATTCTTAGGTGGCTGGGATACATCCAATCTTCTCATCTACCCATTTCTGAGCTTCTGAAATTCGTTTTATTTGCAAACTTCTCTATTGTTGGGATGAATGTCAGTCTCATGTGGAACTCGGTGGGATTTTATCAGGTACTCTCACATGCTCCAATTTATGGCCTCCTTATATTGCAGTTCTATTGTAATTATTTTGGAAGTAACATATTCTCTAATTTGATTACCAGATTGCGAAGCTGACTATGATCCCTGTATCCTGCTTGTTGGAAGTTGTTTTCGACAAAATCCGATACTCAAGGGACACAAAACTCAGCATAGCAATTGTTCTCCTAGGTGTTGCTGTCTGCACTGTTACTGATGTGAGTGTTAATGGTAGAGGTTTCATAGCTGCCTTAATTGCAGTTTGGAGTACTTCTCTGCAACAGTATGTAAGTGTTCCATTCTTCTACTTAAATTCTTATCCAGGTGCAAACGATATACTTTACTGCCTTCTTACCGGAGTTTCCCTCAATTCTTTAGACTAGCCAACCACATGTAAACATACCCACCTATGCATATCTTTCTTGACATTTATTTATGCACATTAGATTTTTTGTTCAACCATTTGTTAATTTTTAAATGGTGTTTTCCTATATGGTAATATTTTATTGCATACTTTTTGGAGTTCCTTAAAAGCAATATTCCCTCAAAATTTATTCCAAACCTTCGAAAGTTATCTTATATTTCTGTTTCTGTATGTGCAGTACGTTCATTTCCTTCAACGCAAATACTCGCTTAGTTCTTTCAATCTGTTGGGACATACTGCGCCGGCCCAGGCTGCATCTTTGCTGTTATTAGGCCCCTTTGTGGATTACTGGTTGACTAACAAGAGGGTTGATGCTTTTGACTACAATACTGCGTCTTTGGTAAGTACTAAAATGACCTATATGTATATTTTATATTCCTATTTCTTGTATATATTTTAGCTGTCACCATCACTGAACCACCATTGTCAAGGTTTAAGCTCCTACTATTTTCATGAACCAGCATGCATATTAAGTTAATACATTCATGCAACTCATCCATGCTTAATTTTTCTTTTATGTTATGTACTTCCTCTGTCCAATTGTAAATTACACATCTTTTTAGTTCTTCTTGTATCCCTATTACCTTGCATGTTTAGTTTTTTTTTTTGGAGAAACATCGTCAGAATTGGATCGGTAAACCCATTATATCTAGGAGACCCTCATTTTAATACCATTATGTAGCTGGCTGCACATACCTAGTTCTTGCGTGCTAGAAGTGTTTTAAGTGTAAGAGTGGCTTTCAGTTTTCTGCTTTAGAAGAATGGTCTCTCACAAATCCTGCATCTTTATTTTCTGCAGGCGTTTATAATTATTTCATGCACAATTGCAGTAGGGACCAACCTCAGCCAGTTCATCTGCATTGGCAGATTTACGGCTGTGTCGTTCCAAGTACTTGGCCATATGAAAACGATCCTTGTCTTGATCCTGGGATTCATATTCTTTGGGAAAGAAGGTCTCAATCTACAAGTTGTCCTTGGCATGGTCATAGCCGTGATTGGCATGATCTGGTATGGCAATGCCTCATCTAAACCTGGTGGGAAGGAGCGTCGCAGCCACTCCATTTCTAGGAGCAGCCAGCAAAAACATGGTGGGCTATCGGAGTCTTCCGAACTTGATGACAAGGTCTAAGCATCTCTGAGTTTGAAGTTGAGCACATTGTGGGTGGCAGAATAGCAGGAATTTTTGCGGTGATCTGACATTAGATACAACCCCCCCCCCCCCCCCCCCCCCCCCCCCCCCCCCCCCCCCCCCCCCCCCCCCCCCCCCCCCCCCCCCCCCCCCCCCCCCCCCCCCCCCCCCCCCCCCCCCCCCCCCCCCCCCCCCCCCCCCCCCCCCCCCCCCCCCCCCCCCCCCCCCCCCCCCCCCCCCCCCCCCCCCCCCCCCCCCCCCCCCCCCCCCCCCCCCCCCCCCCCCCCCCCCCCCCCCCCCCCCCCCCCCCCCCCCCCCCCCCCCCCCCCCCCCCCCCCCCCCCCCCCCCCCCCCCCCCCCCNCCCCCCCCCCCCCCCCCTCCTCCCTAATGAATTATTGTTAGAGGTGATGTAGTTTTGTAATTCTTATTATCTTTTTTTGATATTGAATCCCATCAATGCGATGGATACTTTTCGAATAGGGTTTAGATTTCCCAAAGATACTCGCGTTTTGATTTTTCTCCTCGTCTGAGTTTTTTTTAATTTTTGTTTTTCACTTTGCTACCAAACTATTTTTGTTGCTGCCTGAATATAGGAATACCGAAGGAGTGAGATGGTTGTCTCTTACGATGACGACCCAGGTAAGAACATTACTTGCACTTGACTAGGGTGTTAATCGAGCTGAATTTTTGTGAGCTCGTGTCTGAACTTGTTGAGTTTTTTTTTAAAAAACAAGTCTAAAAAATTGTTTAAACTCGGCTTATTTAAAAAATGAGTCAAACTCTAGTATTTTGATTAATTTATATATAAATGAGTTTTGTGAGGTTGAGTTAAGCCTTTAAAAAAATTATTCAAGCTCAATTTATTTATAACATAAGTCGAGTTTTAGTTGAGTTTTATCCGAACAGAGCTTGAATAGTTTTATTTGATTAATAACCCTAAATTGGGCTGAAACTGTGAAGGCAGGTAAGTTACATTCACCTCCTTTGAAGTTCTGCTTTATACTCCAATTGTTTTTAAAAAAATTCTTCAGATCAAGAACTCTTTCCTTTCATTTTTGCCTTCAAAATTTTTTTTACTCCTTTTTCTTATCTTCTTTCCCTCGGAAACCTTTTCTCCCTCAATTTTTTACTTCTCCAAAGTTTATTGTGATTGTTGTTATTACCAATTTTCAAATTCACTGCCATTTTTCAATCACATGAGCTCTAAGCATCGAATGAGTTTTCTCAATCCTNCCAAAGTTTATTGTGATTGTTGTTATTACCAATTTTCAAATTCACTGCCATTTTTCAATCACACGAGCTCTAAGCATCGAAGAGTTTTCTCAATCCTATTGCTTAAGATGTTTCCCAACGGGTCTGAGCCGTCATGGTCCAAAAAAAAAAAATCAATAATAAGTAAATTTAGCGCCATTGCATGTGTATATATATATATAGACCAAAGATGAGAACAGTGAAGAGAGATAGTTTACTTGTAGAGAGACCACCTGTGGTGACCGAGGAAGACCAACAACAGCGCTGGGGATGGAGAAAACCAAGTGAGGCGGGGCGGCTCAACAAAACTTGAGGCCTAAAGTTACATTTGTAAACGAGGTTTTTTTTTAATTGTTTGTATCGCTAATTTTTTCATTTTTTCTTGTGATATAGTCAATTTTAAGTAAGATTTTATTAATTTTAAAATTTTTGTTATATATATATATATATATATATTTGTATATTTTGCATCCAAAATACTTGTTTTGCATGTTTAACTCTTATCGTGAATATTTTTTTATTATTATTTTTGTTGTATTATTTTATTATTTCTTGTTCTTTGGGATCTATTAATTCTTTGTTTGCAGGACTTTAACCTATTTTTTTATGACATTTTGTTTAGTAGTAGGAATAAAGAGATCATTTTGAGATTCAATTATTTTAAAATTTTCTCATTTTTTAGAAAGATTTTTCATATCCAAATGATTATTTTGTAGTTGTCATATTTATAACATATAATCAACAAATTAGTTCCAAATAACCATATGGTATCCATAATTATAGAATATAACATGAACTTAAAATTACAAAAAATATAAAAACAATATAGTTTGATTTATCACGGTTATTTGCATCATTAAAATTTGATATTTTAATTCTTGCTTGATTAAAGTTTGCAAAATTAAGTAGGTTATATTATGTGGGTTTGATTTGGTGTATGATTAAAGATGAAAAGTTGAGTGTGTATGTGTGAGAGAGAGAGAGAAAGAGGGAGTTTTGTTGGTGTTTAATTGGAGATTATGAGTGTGTGTGTGGGTGTGTGAAAGAGAGAGAGAGAGAGAGAGGGGAGAGGGGAGAGTTTTGCCTTTACTATATTGAGTTTTGACCGTTGTAACAAAATGTGTGGGCTGTATTTTTGGGGCCAAACTATTAAATCTGAAATTTAGTTATTAAGTGTACACTTTTTGAGGCTTTTGTGGAGTTTATATTGTCATATATTTAGAATTTTTGACTAAATTATACTATATATTAAAAAATATGACGGCTTCTTTGTAGTTGGGACCTAAAGCCCTGCTTTTTCGGTTACACTATTGGGCCAACCCTAAAGTGAGGTTGGGTAGATATGAAGGATTTTATGACCGTTAGGTAAAAAAAATATAGTACTCCATAAATTCAAGACATATGTATACACTATGAAAGGAGAAATGACAAGAGTTAACATCCTGCATGACCGTGGGGCCAACAAGGTCTAGCAAAATGGGTACGAACAACAATGTCACAATAGCACCTAGTGTCATGGCCTTACCCAGGTGTGACACCCCAGGCACCTAGCAGGGCGACAACGCCTAGTACTACAGAAGGGCAAGACACATCTTCATCACATTAAAAATAGAAAAATAGACAATTGACCAAGAATGGACAAGAGTGGCACTGCGGGGGTCCACGGGCAACCTAGGCATGACTCACCTCCCTTACTGCGGAAACATGACACAAGGTTGGGATTTCACAACTGACGAAATTGATATCCTCAACCTATTAAACACCGTTGTTCGACTAGTGCACTAGACTAAGAGGAGGGATCTTTACCTAAGGACAGGGCAATATAACCCTCCTCAAGGGAGAACTAAGCAATAGGGCGAATGAACNTGTATTTTTGGGGCCAAACTATTAAATCTGAAATTTAGTTATTAAGTGTACACTTTTTGAGGCTTTTGTGGAGTTTATATTGTCATATATTTAGAATTTTTGACTAAATTATACTGTATATTAAAAAATATGACGGCTTCTTTGTAGTTGGGACCTAAAGCCCTGCTTTTTCGGTTACACTATTGGGCCAACCCTAAAGTGAGGTTGGGTAGATATGAAGGATTTTATGACTGTTAGGTAAAAAAAATATAGTACTCCATAAATTCAAGACATATGTATACACTATGAAAGGAGAAATGACAAGAGTTAACATCCTGCATGACCGTGGGGCCAACAAGGTCTAGCAAAATGGGTACGAACAACAATGTCACAATAGCACCTAGTGTCATGGCCTTACCCAGGTGTGACACCCCAGGCACCTAGCAGGGCGACAACGCCTAGTACTACAGAAGGGCAAGACACATCTTCATCACATTAAAAATAGAAAAATAGACAATTGACCAAGAATGGACAAGAGTGGCACTGCGGGGGTCCACGGGCAACCTAGGCATGACTCACCTCCCTTACTGCAGAAACATGACACAAGGTTGGGATTTCACAACTGACGAAATTGATATCCTCAACCTATTAAACACCGTTGTTCGACTAGTGCATTAGACTAAGAGGAGGGATCTTTACCTAAGGACAGGGCAATATAGCCCTCCTCAAGGGAGAACTAAGCAATAGGGCGAATGAACATAATTGTCAACCTCAACCTGGGACAGAATCTCAAATATTTAGTTTGCTTGAATAAGTCTATCAGTGTATGACTCTCACTACCCATTTGGATGTGCTTCACTAGGATCTAGAGGGACTCCTAAGGTAATTGAGGTTATTGGTCTAGATCAACATATGGGCTAATGAGACATGTGGATTGGTGGTTGAAGGACCAAAACTATGTGGATTTCCTCTATTGGATACCTTGACAAAGTCTCAAGGAAGGGGTTCAGAGAGGAAATGGAGGATCTTAAGTAGGAGCGCGCTAGGGGCATCACGTACATAGCCTTCTCAAGGTCACCTCGATTGTCGCATTCCTCCCCAAGAGTCACATCTGGGTTGCGTTTGGAAAAATATCACATCTACTTAGTTAATGTTCGAACACATGATTCGCGGTTAGCGGTCACTAATATCGCCGAGGTCAAGGAAGTTGTGAGTTGATGCAAGCGTCCGAGGGTTGTGGCGGGCAGCCTTTCATGCAGCTCAACCTACCCAAATATTGTACTATAAATACCCACATTATTTGCCCAATGCGGAAGAGAGATTTTCTACTTAACTGGTGATAGTATTCCACCCACCTTTTGCCAAATTTGTTGGCCCCTTTGTTAATAGACTACTCGAGTTTCTTTCATCCTATCCGTTTATCCTACTCATCCACTTCAATTATCCTTCGCATTGACACGTGTGTCAACTTTTTTTTAATTCTCTACCTACAAAAAGATATGAGATTTGAGTCCCCTTTTATTTAAATTTAGAATAAGATTTTCCTTAATTTTGTATGAATATGGTCTAACATTCGAGAATAATTTTCGACCATTTTTAATTTGGGTCCAAAAGTGTCGGGGCTAAAATTGCCCTTAGGCCCTTATTTCTATAAAATATCAATATTATCCTTACGAAGCCACTTGCAAATTTAATAGACATATTATTCTCTCAGACCTTGAAGCCATTCTGTCCATTTTCTCTCAGCTGACCATCAGAACCACTAGCAAACCAACCACCCCTGGCCACTATCACTGTCCCTTTTCCTTTTTCCCTTTTCCCTTTTCCCTTTTCCCTTTTCCCCCACACCCACTGACCAAAAAATCTCGTTTCTGCCATAAACTTATTCGTCCCATGAAACCCATGTAATCAATCATCTATCTCATGCATTGAACATGAGATTACATCCACCTCCTTTGAGGATCGTTCAAATAAACGAGACCCCCTCCCCACAGCTTTGAACAAAGTTTACAGTTCCAAGGATGACCAGGATGTGTGTTTTTGCAATTTTGACCCGAGCAAATAGTGTCTACAAGTGCATAGACAGTGCACTTTGACAGTCATCTCCTTTTCTTGTACTGTGTATTTCTGCTCAGTTTCATTGAGCTTACAGCTCTCATAGGCGATTGAATGCCCTTTTTGCATGAGAACTCCACGGATGTCATAGTCCGAAGCATCATTATCCCTGCATTGTTGCCTCTTTGGAAAAACACACATTTGAAGCATTGCTTCTTTGCAACTCTCATCTCCTGATAGCTGATTTCGTGCACCGTTCAGAATCAGTGATCCCAAAGCCATTCGTATCCACCATCATATGCAAGTTCCAATCATCTGACATCGTCTTGATTTTGGAAAATTTCTCCCAATTCAAATTCAATACTTTGCCTCTTGATATGCTCTTGCCTAGTTTGATCGACTGAAATCAACTATTCAACATGGAATCGGAGAAAAAGAAATCACTCCTAGAAGTTCTTAGACGGTTAAATGCAACACTCAGAGGAGATAAAGAACTCTGGCTGCAGGAGGTAAATGGTTAAGTAACACTCTTGACGTCTTGTTTGGAAAACATCAAGGCGCGGTAGTCTTGCCTAACCATTCAACCGGNTTCCCTTTTCCCTTTTCCCTTTTCCCCCACACCCACTGACCAAAAAATCTCGTTTCTGCCATAAACTTATTCGTCCCATGAAACCCATGTAATCAATCATCTATCTCATGCATTGAACATGAGATTACATCCACCTCCTTTGAGGATCGTTCAAATAAACGAGACCCCCTCCCCACAGCTTTGAACAAAGTTTACAGTTCCAAGGATGACCAGGATGTGTGTTTTTGCAATTTTGACCCGAGCAAATAGTGTCTACAAGTGCATAGACAGTGCACTTTGACAGTCATCTCCTTTTCTTGTACTGTGTATTTCTGCTCAGTTTCATTGAGCTTACAGCTCTCATAGGCGATTGAATGCCCTTTTTGCATGAGAACTCCACGGATGTCATAGTCCGAAGCATCATTATCCCTGCATTGTTGCCTCTTTGGAAAAACACACATTTGAAGCATTGCTTCTTTGCAACTCTCATCTCCTGATAGCTGATTTCGTGCACCGTTCAGAATCAGTGATCCCAAAGCCATTCGTATCCACCATCATATGCAAGTTCCAATCATCTGACATCGTCTTGATTTTGGAAAATTTCTCCCAATTCAAATTCAATACTTTGCCTCTTGATATGCTCTTGCCTAGTTTGATCGACTGAAATCAACTATTCAACATGGAATCGGAGAAAAAGAAATCACTCCTAGAAGTTCTTAGACGGTTAAATGCAATCCTCAGAGGAGATAAAGAACTCTGGCTGCAGGAGGTAAATGGTTAAGTAACACTCTCGACGTCTTGTTTGGAAAACATCAAGGCGCGGTAGTCTTGCCTAACCATTCAACCAGAGATGCCTCTGTATGGGAATAATCGAAGCTCCATTCAGCATGAACAGAGATGTGATTAACTTTATGCAATTCTGTTCAAAGTTGTGAGATAAAAACTCCCTACATTTTGCCATCAAAAATCATGATAACTCAAGAATTGAAACTAGAAGAGAGAGAAAGGGATTTTATTACAAGCAGGCTGCTGAGCAGCAAAGCTAGCCACCACCTTTTCATGATTTTTTTGGTCAGGATAAACCTATATACCTGTCTCAGTATCAAGCAAGGGTTTGGGCCTACAACAAACAAAAATCACTTGAGCCAAATAAAATCTAAAATCAGGGAATCGGGGTCACACCGTGGTACTGTCTAGAGTCCCACTGCACGCCAGTCATCATCGCATGGAGTGTAGTAGCATTCCAAAGCTTAATCCTTAAAAGTCGCATAAATAACCAACTTCTCTTGCCTTCCTACAACCTTCAAGCCAATTGCATCTTCATATTCTTGTGGAGTACTCAAAAAAAAGTACAAGTGAGGGGGGCCTAATGAAGCTGGCAAATGCTAGGTTAGTGTCAAACGGATATAGTACAACCTAATTCCTTAGCAGCAGTATCTAGAAATTGAGTAGGCATTCCAGTTGCAAGTCGACTGTGAGCTTCCCATGTAAGACACTTTTCAATATCTGCTTTCCAGTCAATAATCCCCACATTTAAGTACTGAAAAGCAGGATTATGAAGGCCATTTATATCCACTTGTCCACCACTAGATTTTATTGAACCACTGTGCATAATAGCATGTAGAACCGACGTGCTTAGAGCACGAACGTGAGCACTTGGATGAGAAAGGCAACGAACTGTAGCTGGTAGGCGACACTGCATAAATTAGCCAGAAAAAATGTCAGTAAGGATTTTAATTTGACTTCTAAAGAATTAAGCCTATCCACCACAAGATTCCCCCCATGCCTGATGATGCCTAAACTTCCCAGTGGAGGACGAGTTCAAAAATAATCTTCTCGTCCCACCTGGTTATATATTTCATAGGATCATTCCTAGAATTAGTATTCGTTAACATACTTTGTTGCCCATGCATGCTGTATTACATTGAACATGTCAAGTAGACATGTTTATTTTACCTTCAATAGGTTTGAAAGGCCGTCTGCGACTGCCAATCCAGATTCCCCCCACTCAAGCACCAGTTGAACTGCTCTAGCTGTTGCTTCCAGGAGCTGATCATTTTGTTTGGGATTAGAATGTTAGCATTTGATATTTTCAAGGTCATAATACTATGTGTAAATATATCTAAGGGATAGAAGGTCCCAGAACTTGAGATCCCAACAATTCTTTGAAATTATTAGGCAGCAGAACCACATATTCCACACCAAACAAAACACTGAAAGTATACTATAGACCCTTGAAAAAATCTGGAGGACTTTACCTCCAGCTGTGGTAAAGTGCATGCTTCTCCATCAACCAGCATCCCATCTGTGGCACGTAGGAGAATATCTGAAGCACTAGCCAAAATTACCAAAGATTCTGGGGTGTCATGATTCCTCATTAGCTCCACAATCAGCTTCACCACTCGCTGGTTGATTCTCCACATCTTTTGACCAAGATCATCATCTTTAGCAATCCACGGTTGCAATTCCCTATCCGCCTGACAAGCACATGTGGTGGGAAAGTGACTAAACAAATAAAGTGATTGCGATCAAATAATTAAAATTGACACTGAAATTAGACTGATAAACATGGATGAAACT